ACTTGGCATTTGCTAAGACTTGCCAGAATGTGGAGTGCAAGTGTTTAAAATGGAAAGGTCACCATTGTGAAAGATCATTACACGGAAAATGAGACGTGAAAATGAAGCATGTCACACTAGGTAGAAACAGGCCAAATGTCCACTGTTGGATAAGGAGATGAAGAAAATGTGATGTATGCACACAATGGAATACTACCCAGCCTTAAACAAGATGGAAATCCTGCCATATGCTGTAACACGGAGCAACCTAGAGTATGTTACACCAAGTGAAATAAGCCAGTCTCAGAAGAACAAATATCTGAGCAGAGAGCAGAGTGGTGGTTGCCAGGGGCTGGGGGAAGGCGGAAGTGAGTGGCTATTCAGTGGGCATAAAGTTTTAGTTACACAAGATGAATCAGTTCTAGAGATCCGCTGCACAGCATGGTGCCTGTAGTTCACAATACTGCATTGCACACTTGCGTATTTGTGAAGAAGGCAGATCTCGTGTTAAATGTTCTTACCAAAATTTTAGACAGAGAATAAAAACTGCAACGGCTTCATGCTACCTTTTTTACAAAGCCTGATAAAAGAGGACACGGTGTCTTGGAACAAACTGAAAGTTTGTTGAAATAAACTTTTATCTACCAGTAAAAAAAAAAAAATGTATATATGTATATATATATATGTATTTTTTTTCAACAACCAGTATTGTTGAAAATAACATATTTTGTTTTCCCAATCATATGTATAATTTGGAAAAATATTATTTAAAGATGATGACAGGCCCGGTGTGGTGGCTCAAGCCTGTAATCCCAGCACTTTGGGAGTCTGAGGCGGGTGGATCATGAGGTCAAGAGACCGAGACCATCCTGGTCAACATGGTGAAACCCCGTCTCTACTAAAAATACAAAAAATTAGCTGGGCATGGTGGCGCGTGCCTGTAATCCCAGCTACTCAGGAGGCTGAGGCAGGAGAATTGCCTGAACCCAGGAGGCGGAGGTTGCCGAGATCGCACCATTGCACTCCAGCCTGGGTAACGGGAGTGAAACTCCGTCTCTAAATAAATAAATAAATAAAAAGATGATGACGGCTACTGTATGTTGAGGAATGACTATGAAGCGGGCACCATGCCCAGATCCTTATACGCTTATCTTACGCAAACCTCCCAGCACTTCTGTGAATGGTTGTTATTATTGTCCCTGTTTTATAGATGAGAAAAGTGCTGCTTGGGGAGGGCGAATAACTAGATGAATGGTTTTATGTTAATAAGATCTTGAAAGAGCTGACTTCCCAACCACTGGCTTCACAGTCTCTCTCATACCCACTCCACGAAAGCCTCCTTCCCCACCACGGAATCGATGGTAAGTTTTCAGCTTTCATTTCATAACTTGTCTTATCGACGGTGTTTGAGCAGTTAACCATCCCTTCCTTTCCACACATGTTCCTCGCATGGCTCTTAGGATGCCACATTGTCCTGAGTTTCCTCCTCCCTTAGAGGACCTGCTTTCAGTCTTCCTCTTACTGTTGAGATTCACTAGGCTCAACTCTTGGCCCTCCCCTTTTCTCTGTCCTCCCTCCTCTGTGATCTCACGCCATCTCATGGCCACAAAACCCATCGATTAGCCAATGGCTTGTATCTCCAATCAGGACCTTTCCCCTGAAGTACAGGCTCTCACATCCGAGTGCACACTTGACCACTTCGTGTGGGTGTCTAACAAACACCTCAAACTCCCTGTATCCCAAACGGAACCTCTGAAGTTTCCACCAACCTGCTGCACCCACAGTTGTCCAGTCTGAGCTGATGGCAATGCCACCCTCCAGCTGGAGTCAACCTTGACTTTTCTCTTCCTCACATCCCACGTGCAATCTGCCAGGAAGTCCTGTTAGCTCAACTTTCAAAATACGTTCTCACAATCTGATTTCTCACCACCTCCTCTGCTGGCCCCTGCTTGGATCCCCCATCATTTCTCACCCAAATGACTGCAGTAGTTACCTAACTGGTTTGCCTGATGTCCTCCTTGCCCCACTATGGTACATTTTTCACTGAGCTGCCAGAATGATTTTGTTAAAATCTAAGGCAAATAATGATGGTGGTGGTCTCAACGTCTTCCAATGGCCACCACTTTTATGGAGAGTAAACATCAAAATCCTTGAATCTGGTCTTTGTTATCTCTGACTTCACTTCCTATCACTCTCACCTCGCTTACCTCCTCTCCCTCCCTCAGGCTTCCTTCTGGTCCTCCCACAGCCCCAGCATGATCAACCCTAAAAGCTTTACATGAGCTGTTTCCTCTGCCTGGAATATTCTTCCCCTTCAAAGCTGTTGTGTCTTCTCAGGGAGTCCTATTGACTGAGCTACCATTCTTGACATGACATCTGGTCTCCACATCTTGACTTTGCACGGCATAATTCAGTTTCCATAGAGTAATCTAATATATGTAATTTATTCAAGTTCTTATTAATGTTTGCCCCTCCTGCCACACACAGACAGATTTTAGGCATGAAAGCTTTCAAATCCAGCTCTGTCACTAAACAGACTTGACATAGGTCAGGCACTCAATAAATATTTGTCGAATAAATAGCAGTGACGGGATCTCAAATCTTAACTTTTGGATGGTGCTGATACCCTGGGGATTATATAATTAAACCAACTGTCCCCGCTCAGCCTGGATAAAACCATGCAAAACAAAGGTTATCAACTTGTTTTCAAACATCACAAAACCATTCTGAAGAAGCAAACTATGTTGGATGAGTCCAATGACTGCCACATGTTCGTGTGACTTCTCCTACCCCTGCTTCCTGGCGTGCCCATCCTGGGATGCCCGTGATTCTGCCCACTGACACTGGGACAGGTCTGTCTGTATAGTCACAGAGGGCTTCTGCTCTCTCAGACCTTCCTGGATTCCTGGACCCCATCAAGACACATCTGCCTTAGCTCCCAGTGTCACGGCCCCGTATCCCCTTGTCACTGGTGAGTAACTCTTTCACAATGAGAGCTAGCAGTCGTTCTGGGTGCCAGCCCTGCAGCCAGCCTGTGAGGGTATGTATCCTGGTTCTACCTTTTGCCAGCTGCATGACCCTGGGGGAGCAACTTGTGTGCCTCAGTTTCCTTATCCATAAAATAAGGACAGTAGTAATACCTACTCTATGAGATTGTGGAAATTATTAATAAACATAAACAAGCTGGGACAGTGCCTACTTAGGGTAAACCTTTCGTATTTGTTAGCTGCTATTAATGTTATGATGATCATCTGATTTCACAGGGGCTTTCAGAACATATTACCTTAATTAAAGAAATTGCTCTACTGAGTGAATTTTGTACATCTTGATTAGCTGATGGAGAAAATATTTTAGTAGAGGTATGATAAAACTAGCTTGTCTCTTTAATCATTTACTCTATGAGTGGGTGGGGGGAGCTTGGTGTCAATTAGTTATCTTTTGGAGATTTCTACACAGTTGAAAATGTATCTCCTCATTTGAGACCAGCCTGACCAATATAGTGAAACCCTGTGTCTACTAAAAATACAAAAATTAGCTGGGTGTGGTGGTGCATGCCTGTAACCCCAGCTACTTCGGAGGCTGTGGCAGGAGAATCGCTTGAACCTGGGAAGTGGAGGTTGCAGTGAGCCAAGAGCATGCCATTGCACTCCAGCCTGGGCAACAAGAGTGAGACTCTGTCTCAAAAAAAAAATTTTTTTAAATATATATTTTGGATGATCTTTAATAACTCAGATACAAAAAGGAGTAATAAACAAATTATTTACTTAGGCCCCAGTGTTTCAATACTAGCAGTACTGCCGTGGCTGCTCCCACGGGATCTTTCATTAATAGCCATCATTTACTGAGGGCTTGCTCTATCCAGTCCATGGTAATTTCCTAGTCTCACCATAACCTATGAATTAAGGATCGATTATTATTCTCATTTCTTTGCTCAGACTCAGAGAAGTTTAGATGAATATCTCACCACATAGTCAGTGATGCCTGGATTAAAAGCTACAGTTTATCCTTAAAGTTTATGCTTTTAGTACTACATTATTTTATGGAGAAGTCAAAAAGAGAAACACATTTCTCCTGTTAACAGATTAATACATGTGAGCAGAAGGATGCCATGAGAGAATTCCACATATATGGAAAGAAAGATTTCCTTCCTGCAAGGATAATAAAAGTTGACTCATATACTTTCTGAAATGATAAACGGATCAAGTTTTTTTTTTTTTTTTTTTTTTTTTGAGACGGAGTTTCGCTTTTGTTACCCACGCTGGAGTGCAATGGCGCAATCTCGGCTCACCGCAACCTCTGCCTCCTGGGTTCAGGCAATTCTCCTGCCCAGCCTCCCGAGTAGCTGGGATTACAGGCACGCACCACCATGCCCAGCTAATTTTTTGTATTTTTAGTAGAGACGGGGTTTCACCATGTTGACCAGGATGGTCTCGATCTCTCGACCTCGTGATCCACCCGTCTCGGCCTCCCAAAGTGCTGGGATTACAGGCTTGAGCCACCGCACCCGGCCCAACGGATCAAGTTTTAGTGAAAATAAATATTGAGTTGCAAAGAGATAGACACCACTTAAAATTAAGATAACTATTCCCCACTGAAGCAAACTATAACTGACAATTATTTGAAGAGATTTTACACATGTAAATAAAGTGGAACTAAGTACAAAAAGTTCTGATATGAAAAATATTTCTTTGAAACCTAAACATGCTTTATGGCATGAAGTAGTTTGCAGTGTCTTCAATGATAACTGACCCATCAATAATTTCTCATAAATATCTAGAAGAAAAAAACTTTTAGAACATGATTTTTGGATGAAAGATCTGCATACACATACTTAAATTGAAAAATACCTAGACGTTTGCTGATGAATTTGGTAGGGTTTTAAATGGGAAAATGGTTTCTTTCTCCTTTTCCTTCCTGCTTGGAAACTAACAAAACATTAGGTAGTATAAGAAGCTCAAACAAAAAAGTTAGTGTCTCTACAGTTCGCAGGTGTTAATAAGAGACTGAGAAGCGTCATGTACCACCCTGCAGTCTGAGGACTGCGAGGCCGCTGCAACCGCAGATTTTTGTCTCTCTTGCTGAAGAGGTATCTTTGCAGTCTCTGGCGGAAGCTCAGGTAGCCGTTGGTGGCTTTCAGGATCCTGCCCTGAAAGGGGAGCTATCTGAATGGAAAGAGATGCTGTGTGTGTCTCAGGCACCGGATGAGGGGGCAGTGAGCAGGACCTTTGGAGAAACGATGGTACCTGGACAGATTTGGAAAACTGTGGAGTATTCATGGGGCTGCTACTTCCTAGATCCTGGTTATGGGTTAGTTTCAAGGTAGAAATTCTCCGAGTTTGAGAATCTTGCCTGTAGTCCTCTTGTATGTCAGTGAATGGTGGAGGATCCGTGCTGGAAGCTGCTGGTAGTGGATTAGTGATTTTTTGTGTATATGACACGGTTGTGTTAGATTCTTCAGAATATACAATTGTCTGTCTGGAATCTTCATTGGAATACATAGTTCCCTGAGGAGGTTTTTTGTTAGCCAAGTACTCTGTACAGGAGGGAATTTGTGTGTTAGTTCCTGACTGGTCTAGAATCACACCCTTTGTGTGACCAGTTATCAAAGAGCTATGAAGGCTCTCTTTTCTGTCTGGTGGAGGGGGTGCCTGGATTGACGAAGGGATCCGGAAAAAGAAATAAAGTTGAAAGGAAAACAGAGAGAAAGTCAAAGTTAGTCATGAAAGAAATGAGTGTCGACCTTCCTTACAGAAGTAAAGCAGTGCCACGCCTTCTGGTCATGCTATCCATTTCTCTAGCTAGATGGAGCGATCGTTTGCATTCCGCTTAGAATACATTTACATTTATTATCAATGTTTGCCCTTAGGGGAAAAAAGGGTTTCCAGAGAATACATTATAACATTTGTTCCACCTAAATTCTGGGAAATTACATTAAAAGTGAACATATGTTCTCCTGGCATATTTTTTAATTAGACTTTGAAATATATCTATGGTTTATTTGATAGCGTTGTTTCAGAACAATTTTCATGCTTGTGGCATAATTTTACTAATATCTCCAACACAGAGTCCCTTTAGTTAATATAATAGTTGCATACTCATAGTTACTGAATACATAATGTATTCCTGACCTCATCAGTTTAAATCCAAAGCATCAGCTGTTATCTTTTAGAGAATTAGAACATATCCTAAAGATTATGTTAGAAACTGATATACTTTTCTGAGCCTAATCAGAAATAAAACAAAATCCTCCTTTATTAAAATTTGTTCTCCATGTTGTAAATACAAGCCTGGCAAGCAAACCAAACACAAAAGCAAAAACATTAAAAATATAACACGTATTGAAATATGCACCCTATGAAAGGGGCTTTAAGCAGTGGTCTAATAACCATGCCTTAAAATCACATAGTGAAGAGTGTGCAGGGTTACCTGAGTTGGTGATCTTTTATCTTGTAGGTTCGGTCGAACGCTTCTAAAACCTTTTGCTGCAAGAGAGGAATATGTAGCATCTCCGTTCAGTGCCTCTTGATTGCCATGGTAAGATCTCCAAGCTTTCATTAAGGGAAAACAATTGGATACAAAAATATCTACGTTCACTTAAACATTTTTTATAAAATTTATTTTTATTTTGAAAATTGTAATGTTCTTACTAGAGGTTTAACTTAATATGCATAATAGTATATGAAGTTTAAGTTTTACGTGAAGTCAGAAATGTGGCTAGGAATATGAAAAAGTCACAACATAATGCAATAGTTATTCAGAATATCTTTTCTGTACCTGAGTCTGGTGACTGAGAATCACGCCCTGAAAAAAAAAAAAAAAGGAATGTTGAAAACTAGGGTGAAATAAATGAATGACCCAGACAAAATAACATGGCAAAGAACTTATGCATTATTTTTGCAAACGTTATTTCAGTTTTAAAATCTGGGTATGTCAAACATGCCAAAGGGAGGTTTGTACATTTATTTTTACTTTAATTAGAATGTCATTCATTAAATATCTATAATATATAAATATCTATATAGCAATCACTAATTTCCCCCCTCAGCAATGTTGCAACATGCAATTTTCATCCGATTATGGCCAAAGATAGAGGTAGGAATTTCTAAATACCAAATTAAAGGATCATTGTTTATAAACAGTGAGTGCTAATTCAAATCCCCAGATCCTTAGCTTCCAATGCCCTGCCGTTAATAAGCATATTTAACTCCCATGTTACAGAGCTGTACCCTGCAATTTAGTTTTTACCTTAAGAAACTGTAGACCTGTCTACCATATCATGTGACATTTTCAAATTATTCTCTAGACTTTTAGTTTTTTTCTTATTGCCATATAACAGTCATGTTACACTCAAATATGAAAGAGCTGGTAGAATATGTTCCACTGTCTTTCAGCTAGTAAGCTGTGGAAATAAATTTTAGTACTAATGAATTGCTTTTATTAAGGTTGCTGGCAAGTTATCAGTGATATATTTATTATCAATTTTATTGAAGTTATATATTCCAGAATATTCTTTTTTTTTTTTGAGACGGAGTTTTGCTCTTGTTACCCAGGCTGGAGTGCAATGGCGCGATCTCGGCTCACCGCAACCTCCGCCTCCTGGGTTCAGGCAATTCTCCTGCCTCAGCCTCCTGAGTAGCTGGGATTACAGGTGCACACCACCATGCCCAGCTAATTTTTGTATCTTTAGTAGAGACAGGGTTTCACCATTTTGACCAGGATGGTCTCAATCTCTTGATCTTGTGATCCACCCGCCTCGGCCTCCCAAAGTGCTGGGATTACAGGCTTGAGCCACCGTGCCCAGTCCCAGAATCTTCTATATGCACATTTGAGTTAATTAGTTTGCACGTTTCACTTATGTATGTTTGAAGTTATCACTTGTGTTGCCTGGTTCTATTAAAGCACGTGGTCAGCTTCATTTAGATTTATTAAGCTTTGACTTTGGAAATGATCCTAGGGGTAGGATGGTTAGCCCAACCTGCTGCCCAGTCCTGGATTTCTTCTACATGACCCCTGGGACCGTTATTAGATTCCTATTTCAATACATATAGCAGGAATTTTACATGCTGAAAAAGTCTTTTTCTTTTAATGCTTCAGAATAGTTACTTTCAAGTTTAAACATGTGAATTTAGAATGATAAAAATGGGTTGAGAAATGCAAGCGTTTTATTTTTAGATAAAATATTTGATGTGGATTCTTTCCAAATCCAAGGAAGAAACATGTGAGCCAGCACAGCGTCGTCAGAACGATTCCTGCTCGGGTGAGCTACAGAAGACAAATGAATTCCCATTCTTTCTGATCATTGATAACTTTGTATGGATTTTATCTCCAATTAATTTAAAATTGGAGCAATAAAATGGGCACCATAGAGAAAAATTACTTCAAAGAATGATGCATGAAATGTTTATTGGACGCTATGTCTAAAATTTGTACAATTTTAAATTTTTATTTTATGTGTTAGAGATGGGGTCTTGCTACTATTTCAAGGGTCTGGCCTTGAAATAGTGGGCTCAAGAGATCCTACAGCCTCAGTCTTTTGGTTAGCTGGGACTACAAGTGTGTGCTACCAGGCCTGGCCCTACTTCTAGGATGTGGTGGAAGCAGAAATGATTGACATTCTTAATTAGTTACATGACAAAGATAAAGAAACACACAGTTTGGCAATATGGAGCTATTAGAATTCTGCTTTGGGACACTCAGGAACGAGACTTAATAACCACAAGGGTGCCATCCACTGTGAACAGTGAACAAATTTTGGGATTTGGGAAAGGACAATGAAAAGTAACTTTTGGGATTTGGGAAAGGACAATGAAAAATAACTTTTGGGATTTGGGAAAAGGCAATGACATAGCCCAAGGCTACTTTATGAAAAGAGAAGCAGCATTAATAACAATGATTCCATTCTGATTATTTGCTTGAGGACAGGGAGTTTATTTTATGCTTGGTTTGGTAAACTGAGGTAAACAGGAAGGCTGTGTGGTATGTGCTGGGGATGAGGTAACAGGAGCCGGAGGCTTGGAGATGCAAGGGGTGCAGGGGTGGTGAGAAAGCAGGGGGTACTGCACTGGCCTGAAGGATGCTCAGGTCATCTCCTCCTAACTGATCATCTGTAGGGGCAGGCTCTATTTCTTCACACTGGTGACTGTGTTGAAGATGGTGGAGCCCCAGCAAACAGTAAGTGGGAAAATCAGAGGATGGTCACTCTAGGCTCAACTGTGGGCCTCTTCCTGGGATCCTGGGCCCAGGGATTTCCAAATGAATCTGTCCCTGTGCCACTGGAAACACTGGACAGTAACAGTGTTGGGCTCTACTGAAAGGCCTGGCATCACACCATAGATACATGTGTGCAGAATTAAGAGAAAGGAGAAAATGGCCATGGATTAAAACTTCAGGATGAACCAGGATTTTTAATATATTTTTAAATTGTATTTATTTATTTTTTGTTATATTTTAAGTTCTGGGGAACATGGGCAGATCATGCAGGTTTGTCACATAGGTATACACGTGCCATGGTGGTTTGCTGCGTCCATCCCCCTGTCATCTACATTAGGTGTATCTCCTGCCCCTCCCCTAGCCCCACCCCAACAGGCCTCGGTGTATGATGTTCCCCTCTCTATGTTCTTATTGAGGATGAACCAATGTGTTTTAATAAAGCTTGTGTTGGTGATTAAAGTCTGCTTTGACGTGGGTGGTCTTTTAAGGAGACTGAAGTACACATCATTCCTCTATCTTTAAAATAAATCCAGTTATAGATACTTCAGACACCCAGTCCTGATTTGCTCTTTTATTATAGTCTTCTATGTGGACGCCGTTAAACATAGCCCTGCTTTTATTTTAGTCCTGCAGGAAAGCTTGGGAAAGGGAGGACACCTGTTCTCTGGAGCAGGAAATAGAAGGTATCATGGATCCATGTTAAGTAAAGAGAATATAGGTTACTAAAAAAAAAAAAAAATGTCGGTCAGGTAAATGGCTGGCTTGGCAGATACGTGGGGAAAATGGTTTTCCTCCAAAGCTGCAACCCTGGTGATGCACATTCACTTGTGGAAAAACAAAGCTAGGACTCTGGGGGTCTGAGTCTTTAATTTCTAGTGTTCTTTAGTAGATAGTTATGGCTTCACTGAAAATCCACGGATGACTAAATGGTGTCAGTTTTTCCCTTTCCTGAATATACTAACAGCGTCTATGTGCTCTTGACCAGCACTTTTCCCCGTATCAAGGCACAAACTGGTGAGTACCTGTCTGAGATTTTGGGCAAGACATTCCTGGTTCCATGTCAGGGGTGGAGCTGGATCCCCTCAATGGCCCTTTCTACTGTTACGATTCTAACACGATAGATTTTACATAGCTGTGTTTGTGATACGTGTCACATCATAATCTCTACGCTCAGGTTTTATTTAAATCCCTTTTAACTGATATGCCATATTGACAGAGTGGCTTAGGACCGTTTGTGGAGGTTTTACATAAAGGCTGTTGTATTTTAACAATATTGAAGGCAACTAATATTGATCAATTCTCTTTTGACTCACATAAAGACACTGTGTCATCTAAGTTCTTTTGAAAGCTACATAGAATGCAGTTGTGCATAATAATGCAGACTTCTTAATTAAAAAATATAATGAAAACCTCTTTAAAAAAGGGGGCTGGCCATGGTGGCTCATGCCTGTAATCCCAGCACTCTGGGAGGTCGAGGGGGGTGGATCACTTGAGGTCAGTAGTTCAAGACCAGCCTAGCCAATATGGTAAAACCGTGTCTTTACTAAAAAAAACACACACACACACACACAAAAATTAGCCAAGCGTGGTGACAGGTGCCTCTAATCCCAGCTACTCAGGAGGGTGATGCTGGAGAACTGCTTGAACCTGGTAGGTGGAGGTTGCGGTGAGCCGAGACTGGGCCACTCCACTCCAGCCTGGGAGACAGAGCAAGACTCCATCTCAAAACACAAACAAACAAACAAACAAAAAAAGGGATCTTACTTTATGTGTCTAATTGACACAAAAGAGGGCTGCTTTTAAACAATAACATCCAAAATTCAGTGGACTTCATTCTCTAGGACTCTTACTCCTAGTGATAGAAAACTTAAAATAGCCCAAAGCTGCATTGTTTACTGAAGAGTAACTCATATTCTTGAAGTGTGAAATCTTTTTTTTCTTTTCGCTATTTTAATTCTGAAGCATTAAATCTTTTCTATTAAGTAGAATTACATGAAATTGCCTACATTCCAGTTTCACCTCTCCAAATTGCCACTGTTGGTGCGGTGGGCCATTCCCCAGCACATGCATTAGTGGTTCGTGACTGAGTAGGTTGGGCTGAGATCCTATTTGGTTGAAATGTCAGCGCTATTCAGGGTACTGGCATTCCAGTTACATGATGGCCCCAAACTCTTAAATTTATTGTCTTACTTGCCTTCATTCCTGTTTCCCATGGTATCCAGTGTAAACACGTCTGTAGTTTTTCTAACACCTTTTTGTGTTCATACACACATGAGCCAATACATACAAATAGAGATTTGTATAAAGATTTTTTGTAACCAAAATGAGGTCATACTACAAACCTTGCAATGCAACTTGCATTTTCTTTTAACTTAATATATAATTGAACTCACTAGCCTGGCATTTAAATGTGAACATTGAAATCCATCAGTGTATTAGAGGTGGTGAATGGAAGTGAGATTCTCCATATGGAAGTTTAGTTTTTTTTTCCTCAAGGAAAGCTCAGTAATTTAGAATCAAGTGGCGGTAAAGTGAAGAACACCCTGAGTATTTAATCAATTGCTAGATGTTCGTGTGTAAAAGATTGTGATATGCATAGTGAGAACTAAAATTATTTAAAGACTCTCCATCCCTTTCCCACTTCTGCTGTAAGACCCATTCATCTTATAAATACAAAACAAGTAATCTCCAAACTGCAACTACCCAACCAGACAACCAACCACCCAGTCACCAAAGGGTGTGGGTCTGTTTCAGCGTCTAGAGGCACTGGGCTTGCTGGCCTCCCTTTGATCTTCTAAGAGCTGCACCCCCTCCCAGTGCAGACTGTGCCTTAGGTTCTGTGCCTAACTTATGTACTGTGGCTTAGGTAGTCATGATAGAGATTTATTATAAAGAGGCCACTTGAGTGGATGCTGAAAAGTCATACCCCCAGTCACTTCCTACCTGTGGGTACATGTTATTCTTAATTGGTCAAGATTTTGATATGTTTAAATATATATATATTAGAAGGGTCTTTGCTGATTGCATTGAAGGACAGGAAAGGTCTCTTTCAAAACTAATGATCTATCATTCTGTTGGCAACTTTTGTCAAAGAATCTAATTAATGAAGAGTTGGGTTCCTACAAATCCCTCTTTTCATCCTGTATCCCTGTACTCCCACCCCAGCAGTTTTTAGGTTACCCACCCCCCAAAAAACCTATGAGTTATCCTAAAGAAATATGTTACTTAAGTTCATGCGATAACAGAAACTTACATAGTTATTAACACTTGCAGTTACTCAACCTATTTTTGGTAAGTGACTGTTGTTTTTAATTACACGTGTAAAATGTTTCCTACAAGATCTCATTTTCCTTTGCCTTTTACATTTAGAACGAAAACAGTCAGAAGAGCTATAAGCCATTCAGGTGCGACATTCTGTGAGTTAGTGATATTATACCTGCGGCCAAGAGGTTTGGAGAACTTTGCACTCTCTTCACAGATGTTAGCGTGACAGACATGGCGGCACGTTTGCGAGCAGACCCACCACTATCTGGAAGCAAAAAAATGACATAGCAGAGGCCAAGGCAACAGAAAAAGCACATGCAATATCATGCGTTTTAAGTGAAATGTGCCAGACATCCACGAGAAAGATGAACAGTCAGAGTCGGTAACCACAGAATGCACCTGCCAATTTCACACCACCTCAAACTGCAACAAATGAAATGAAACAAGATCAGGGATCTGCCTTAGAAATAGATGTCACAGGCCGGGCGCGGGGGCTCACGCCTGTAATCCCAGCACTTGGGAGGCCGAGGCAGGTGGATCACGAGGTCAAGAGATCGAGACCATCCCGGTCAACATGGTGACACCCTGTCTCTACTAAAAATACAAAAAATTAGCTGGGCATGGTGGTGCGTACCTGTAATCCCAGCTACTTGGGAGGCTGAGGCAGGAGAATTGCCTGAACCCAGGAGGCGGAGGTTGCAGTGAGCCGAGATCGCACCATTGCACTCCATCCTGGGTAACAAGAGCGAAACTCCGTCTCAAAAAAAAATAAAAAAATAAAAAATAAATAGATGTCACTGCTTTAGTGAAGGCATGGAAGATTCAATACTTAACATTTTATGGTTTTCCTTGTGAAAACTCAGGCACAGAACTCAACTTTGTTTATACTGTTTAAATTCAATTTAATCTGAATCTATAAGCATTGGACTGGCTTTTAGAGTCAAGGATTCGCACTATTTCTGGATTAAGGGCTATGGTACAACATACTTTTAAGTTAATATCATTTAAGTTTTACCATCTTCTAGCTGCTGTAATTCCCAAAGGGAGCCTGAATAATTCTCGCAGTAAAAATGATTAGTGACACAGATGTGATACAGTTTTTAGAATTCATAGAGGAACACATGGCATTATGGAAAGGTCATTCTTTCTGTAGTTATTGTTAGTTATGGAGAAAACTAGTCTAATTAAAATGATATATATGGCATTGAAATGACTATGTTTAAAGAAAGTAGTATATTGCTTTTACTTTTAAAATTTTTATTTTTAGGGCTGGGGTCTCGCTCCGTCACCCGGCTGGAGTGCAGTGGTGCCATCACAGTTCATTTCAGCCTTAAACTCCTGGGCTCAAGCAATCCTCCTGCCTCAGCCTTCTGAGTAGTGAGGACCACAGGCACATACCACAGTCCCTGGCTAACTTCTTAACTTATTGTAGAGCCATGGTCTTGCTATGTTTCCCAGGCTGGTCTCAAACTCCCTGGCTCAAGTGCTCTTTCCACCTTGGCCTCCCATTGCAAGCATGAGCCACCACACCTGGCCTCATTTATTGCTTTTATACTTTTAGCAATATGTTTACTATGATCTAACATTTAAACTTGTGCAAGTCACAATGTGAAGTAAAATACGTGTAAGTGCATCAGCCATTTTATTGTGCTGTGAGAAGTTGAGACTTCTAAATTTGGAAGAGAGGTCTTTCGAAATGGTAAGGCCAGTGTTCTATTTGTGACCAGATTCAAATTCCATTCTTACATTCCTCTGTAATATGGCATGTGCAATAAATAGTTTTGCTCATTCCTCTCATTCTGCTCATTAAGTAAAACAAAATGAAATCAAATATTTTGGAAAGTTATAAAGAAAGACAATATAACCACAAATATAGTAATACAATCCTTATATACTGTCACATTCCTATTTTTCCTTTTTCTTTGTTTTCATAGGGAAAGTATCAAGTGTGTTTATTGGACATGAAAGAATTTAGATTAGTAAAGATGCTTGGAAGTACGATTTGGATGAATTTTTCATAAAGATTATAAAGAGGAGGATTAATAGAACTTAAAATCAGTGGAGTGATTCCTATATCAAATTTAACTTCTTTAAACAATATGTTTAAAATAAGAATTTCTTAATATAGAAAAATAATTAAACCAGAAAACCGACTTGAAAGAATCTTAAAAGAAAATGAGCCAAATCAATCAAAGGTTATAATTAAGAACCCAAAGAAAGTGACCCAAATGGTAGAAACAACAGAAGTTTCCTTCAGGAGAGGCTCCAAAAGGAATCGAGGATTTTAGCAAACTCAGCAAACTGAGAGTAGCTTCGAGACAAGTGTGTCTGATAAGATGGAGGGAACGTTGTTGCTTCCAGGAGCTGTGAACTGGCCTAAAATGGTTGTGGAATCAAAGACGTTGAAAGTGAAAACTGCCGTCACTCTAAGAGTGATTTTATTTCCTAGTTCTTTTATTTCTGAACATCTAACAAGCACCTAGATGAAAGGAGAAATTTCCAGAATGAGAAGATCCAGGGTCACAGGTTAAACTATGGTGTTCAAACTGTGGACTGAGGTGCCCCGGGCTGCCCTGGTGAATTCACAAGGGCGTCGGGCATATTTCCGGCTTTTAAGGAAAACACTGTGCTGACTGTATGTGCTGTATTCCTTTTGATGATATCATATTTTTGAAAAACTGGGATCTTGATAGTTGCTCTGATAAAAAGCAAGTATCCTCTGAAGAACATTTTATTTATTTATGTTTAGAGAAAGGGTCTTGCTCTGTTGCCCAGGCTGGAGTGTAGTGATGTGATCACAGCTCACTGGGCTCGAGCTGATCCTCCTGCCTCAGCTTCTCCGATAGCTGGGATTACAGGCCCATGCCATCATGCCCAGCTAATCTTTAAAATTTGTATGGAGATAGGGTCTCATTATGTTGCTTAGGCTTCTCTCCAACACCTGGGCTTAAGTGATCCTCCTGGCTCAGCCTCCCAAAATGCTGGAATTACAGGCATGAGCCACTGTGCCCGTCTGGCCTATAAAACATTTTAGATCAGTAAATGAGAGTGTCCATGTACAATCTAATTCTAAGGTCTGAGAATTTTTTCAGTGTGCAACAGGCACACACATACCATTAGTAAGTAATTCTTGTTATAAAGAATGAAATAAAATTATTTTCTTTCAATTTATATGTATTATTTTGTCAAATGGCTTCTAAGTCATCAAAACAAAATACTTATTAAGTAATTACTAAGTTATTAAGTTATTAGCACCTAACTACCTAATAAATAGAAGTGTTAGGCATTTTTGGCCTAGAAGCACCATGAAAAAAATTACTGAGAAATTAAAAGTCAGTGTAAACCAAAGAAGTTTGAGAATCTTTGGGTTAGACAATTTATGTATTTTAGGAAGTGCTGAGTCCTAGATCAAATAAATGGAGACTCTGTCTTTAATCAAGTTTCATGAAGAGCTGAATTCTAAAGCCTGAGGCACTTGTAAAATTGTTGGAACAGAATGTTATATTCTGTTTCTACTTTCTTATGTATTGATACTTTTTGATACTCCCCGAAGATATGTTTAAGATGTAAAAGGAGGATGCTACCTTTCCTGTGTCAGTTTATCCTTGAGAATCCTAATGCTGGTCTTGCCTTTTGTCCTCATTAATGACCTGCAGCCCTCCTGGGCTACTCTTCCCCTGAGCTGCAAGATTCCTGGAAGCTGTTTCTACGCTAGAAACCACTCATGTGGAAATTACACATGGAGAATTATTTGATGTCTTTTTCTCCTTTTTTCAATAGCTAAGATATGCCTAAGAAAGTAATGGGTTAAAAATTCTAAAAGTGGACATATAACATGTTTTGTATATTTTTTATATTGTTTACACACTTTAAAAATTAACCACATTCCCCATGGCTAGTTTATGTATTGATTAAAAGCAAATACTTAATTTAAAAGAATGCTTTTTAACCGTAGTGACAGACACATGAAGACTTAAATGGGAATATATCTCTTTATTGATTAATAATATTGATTGAATTTAGCTTATCCAATATATCAAACAATAAAAAGATGTATTCTGATTTAAATGATATATTGATATATATATATATATCAATAAAACTGGCCTGCGTTATCTATCTATATAGATTATCTATCTGCATTATTTATCTATCCGTATATTATCTGTATTATCTATCTATCTATCTATCTATAGATAAATAGACAAAAGAAGTCAGAAGAGCTAGAAGCTATTTTTGGGATGAGAAAAATAAGAACTTGTAAGGCCACTTTATTCATCTATCTGTTATCTATGTATCTACGTATCTATCAATCATCTATCAGGCCAATTTTATTTACTATCTCTTTAGGAACAAATTCCTGATTCATTTTGTAAACACAGTCACAATGCTTTCAACTTCCTAAGGCAGTGTGTGTGTGTGTGTGTGTGTGTGTGTATAAAAATATAGAAATATATATATTTAAGAGTGGTATGTTTTTATAAAAATATTATTTTGGAATTTTGTGCAAAAGTCTTTAGTCACTTTTGATCACATTTGTGCATATGTTTGAACACCATATTTTCCAATCATTATACATAAGTGGAAGTTCATCCACGTAAGCAAAATAATCCCATACAAATTGCATCCCATTCAGAGTCAAGCTTACTCCTTAGAAATGAGAGGATGCTTTAGAGGGTTACATTTATGCTGCTAAGCAGTAACTTGGCTCAAGCACCTTGGTGACTTAAACAAACTGACAAATGTCTGTGTACTTACTTTGCCATGAGGTATGCAGTTATATGGACAGGAAGGGCAACTATTGAACGCACTGCACATGAACACAGTCCATTCAGTATATCATGGATGCACATCTCTGTCATAATAGGGTTATAATAAATAGGAAAATCAGTACTCATTAAAATGAGGAAGACTGGGAAGTTACGATCAGCTTAAGTCTACAGGGACACGTCTTGGAAGGATTAGAAAACATCACTTCCTCACGTGGAGCTTCTGCTGGAGAGACTTTGCAGCTCCAAACGTGGCTGATGCTAGTCCAGCTGTGGGCTCTATGTTCTATTTGCTTTCTTCCCTCTCCTTTACTTAATAACATTTTCTACTTCATTCTCCATGTCTAATTCTGACATCTCCAATCTTCAAGATGCATTTGCGTGATGCGTTTGCAGGGCTGTAACTTCTCTCGATTGCTAAGCCTTCCCTGTGTGTTTGACTGTCTCCGGAATCCTCATCTTGCCCGTTGTCCACGTCTGCAAGATGACTGCATTGTCAGGAGCCTGCCCACCCAGCCTTCTCAGGGCCACCGTGGCGCATGGAACGTCATGCAAGGCTCTGCACTAGACCTGGGGATTAGGGATTGGTCCTCGCCAGTGGTTGGTAACCCTCCTTGTAGGCACTTGGATGCAACAAGAGACAGCAGAAAGGCAACCAGCTGGACGTGAGAGAATATCTTGGGCCATCCCTTCTCCTCTGCCATGGGGTGACGGCTCAAACAACTTCCCAGTGGTCACTTGTGGGTAGGAAACGGTATCATTTAAACACAAGTTACAAAATTTCAGTGAGAAAGCTGTTTCTTGAATTAGTTAATACTGTATATTTCAAGGTCGGGGGAAGGCAAAATTAGAAGCCAAATTATTTCTACTGTGGAAAAGAGTTCATATGTACCTAGCATGTGTTCCGAAGACTTCTACAGTTAAAATGTATACGGTGCCGTCCAGAGGCGTGGCTGTGAAGCTGTGTGGAGATACCATTCTCACGTCTATAACACTATGTGACTTGTGACTAGAGGTTAATTAAGCTGATTTTGTATAAAGCTTTGACATTCAATCCGCTGACTTCTTCAGCATAAAGAGTTTATAAAGCGAAGAAGTTTAGATATTTTCTCCTAGAGCAACTTACCTTTGAATTTAGCTTATTTTTAAGTGAGCGATTTCAAAAGTACACATACAAACGACAGACTACCTCTTCCTATTGTTTATAGGTGTTAATTCTAACGTGATTAATGGAAAAGGAAGGAGGAGCGAGTAGCAGAACAGAAAATTCGACTCTTGATGTCTATGAGAGTGGAGCACAAGCACAAAGAGAGCGAGTGAGGACTCCAGGTCCTCCCTGATCAGAAGTCACAGTCACAGTCAGGAGGAGCAGAGTGCTCAGCTAATGATTCAGCGCCACCACGACTCTTAGAGAGCAAGGCTACGAGAGTTTGAACTAACAGACAGCGTACCTGTGTTCATTCTGACCTTGGAGACTTTGGTATTAAAGTCTTCAGTTTTCCTGTAGGAAAAAAATGGTGCATAATTTGTTCGCTAGCACGTGGAACACAGTATCATAAAAGTGTGTTTTGTTTTTGTTTTCGATGTACCCTTAAGTTAATATCACATTGTCCTTAGTCCTGTTTAAATCAGTGTTTAATAAGGCAGGAAGAATTTATAATTCTATTCATGCTAAGCTTTTATCATTGGTCCTGTGACCATGAGACAGATCACACTCTGTTTTTATGCTTTTGTTTAATGGTTAGCGTTGATGGATGAAAATGGAGACGTTTTGTGCTGGTTTGCTTGTTTTTTAGAGAGAGGTTGCGCCCTGTTACCCAGGCTGAAGTGCAGTTGATTGATCCTAGTTCACTGCAGTCTTAACCTCCTGAGCTCAAGCCATCCCCCCACCTCAGCCTCTCAAGGTGCTGGGATTACAGGTGTGAGCCCCCGTACCTGGCTGAGTTTTCATTTTTAAAAATTAAATTTCTTCTGCAAATATTTATACAAATAATTTTTGTTCTCTAAGCCTGAAAGGATTGTCTGTTAAGTGTCCTCTTCCGGAATTTTAAAAGCTGCCCTGGAGCTTTAAAATCATTGCCTTACATGTGCGGGTCATTTTACTACCGGGGAGTATGTAATGAATGGAATGCATATTTTGAGGACACTATCAAGAAAGATGAGATTCATCTCTCTCTTTTTAAGACACAGGAAATAGACGGTTACTACAAACCCCATTTCTGCATTCATGTTGAACACCGATTTTTCCCAGTGGTGTTGCATGCATAGCCTTTGGGATGAATTCACTAGAAATGGTTGGCAGAACGGACATGTCTCAGAAAAAGTTTTAAATCTTGCGTATCATCTTATGACATGTGAGATGACTTAGTTCTTTCTCTGGCATATTTTCTTAGCCCATTTATGGAGTTTCTTATTTATCCATAACCTGAGACCAAAGAGAAAAGACACACTGACAAGGAAGGAAATCTGCTAAGTCCAACAGTTCCCTGCGAGCGATGTCTGACCCGGCCATTGGCCTTTGCTCCTGAGTGGGCCCGTTGTTCAGTATCCACAAGAACTCGCCAACACAACGCAGTCACGGCTTCCAGGCACATTAGTACTGCCACATCTGAACATTTTCAAGAACTTTGTTTATTCCTTCTGGATGAATGAGGATGAGTTTGAAATGAAATCACTGGCATGATTACCTGTCAAGAAAGACTTTTGATAAATATATTTTTCTCAGTCTCTAAAAAGAGCAGCCAACGAGCTTCCTGGCTTTCTTGCCTTTGTCTGCCAAGGTTCTCACCCTCTTCTCCCTTCTGACCATTTCCTCTGCTCAGTTCGACAAGTATTATTTTCTTTCAATGTGGCTATCGGAGTTCACCTCTTATGGAAAGCCTGGCTTTGTTCATTACTATTGCAAAATTATAATAATAATATCAAAATGTGAACATTAGCTAAACATGATGGTACCCTTCTCCCAGTGAAATAAAATAACATTAAAAAAACTTACATCCTATGAAACACAATTATAAAGATTTTATATATATATAATATAATCCTTCTCATTTTGCTATATACACACATGCACACACATACACACACACATACATATGTATATTTGCCTAGATTGAATTACTAATACCTCAGGTGTCAAATACTAAATTCATGCACATTTAAAATGGGTAAAATCACAATACTGATAATCACTTCAGTATGTTTTTAGAGCTATAAGCTGAAAACAATACAGATGGTAGCCTTGCTATGCAGCATTTAATTTTTGTGTTGTCTGACTGTGTTCAGTGTCACACCGTGCCCATCTGCCCTGGGCCTTCGCTGCAGGGTAGGGGGCAGGACAGGAGCCATGCATAGTGCGCCGGGCTAGAGCTGAGTTTCCACACTGCTACTCAGGAACACTTTGGAACCTTTTCCAAAGGCCGACTGACTTTGGAAAACGATGGAAGGAAATTTTAGGATGATAAATTTTATAGCCTATTTTTCAGTGTATGTACTAAACAGGTACACTTCTTTTTTGCTGTTGCTCTTTGTTCTGTTTTTCTCCAGAATTGCACATAAAAATGTGACCTGTTTCTAAAAACTCTACTTGGTAGCTGAATGCCGCCTGTATGGAAGGATACTGAGGAAGTCAGGGAAGAGGGCAGCGGCCAGCCCAGGAGCTTTGGGAAAGCGCTTTCAAACGCATTTATTTTAGTCTCTCGATAGCAAAACTCCTAATCTGTTAACCTTAAATGGACAAAATAAATGGAAAAGAAAAGCCTCAGGGGATGTGTGTGACCCAGGCAAGTTCTAAAACAAGAAGGGCTAAACAGTCTCCAAAAAATGAGGCTCATAAGGACCTTTCCCAAATCTGACTTTGTCATTCCTTTTGGAACCAGGCAACCCTGTGCTTAAAATGGCTTAAGGTTTTAAAGCTGCATGAGGAAGACAGTATTTGGGCTAGAATAATACCGACCGACAAAGAAAACATCAAACACTGTCAACTCAGAAGACAACTGCTGATAGACAATAATCATGTTTCGTACCGAGTTAGAGAACTAGTTATCAGCTTCTGTTGTTTGAATTCAAATGCTGATATTTACAGAACATCTAACACTCAGAAAGTAAAATAGGAGCAATGAGAACAAAGAAAGGCGCCACAGATCCTTGAGGTTTTCATCTTGAAAGTGACGTATCCTGTTACTTATAAATGTAATTTGTGAGGGCTTTCAACTTCCCATTGTTTTAGATGGCAAGATGTGAAATGACTGACTTCCTAATCAGGCAAGACATTTTCCAAGTTGTTAAGAGAAGAACCCCAGTGACTGAGCTCTCAAGAAGAACCTGAAACCGAAGCGCTTCTTGGGTGACTAATAAAAATGCGTGATTCTATTTCCATTATTTGTGCTAAGTCCATTAACAAATCCATGACTAAGAAATCTCTTTAGACAATTCAAACTAAAGCGAATTTAATCTCTTTGTTCTGCTCTGAAAAGTGTCCTTGATTGTACTTACATAACAAGCACATATTATTCTGGAAAGCATCGAATTCCTAGAGTGTTTGCATGCTACTAGAAAACAGTATTTCAAGTTTTCTCTTAACTTGGAATTGAACCAGGGACGAGACTATGAGAACTAAGCATTACACGGAGATGACCTTGAGCCTCAGCAGACAGTCCACAGAGCAAAGAAGCATCTGAACATTAAGGTGTCAACATGATTTCAACAGGTGCTATGGGGTTGTATTTACTTTTGTCAAAGTTTCATATAATGACCAACTTTCTATGTGTCCCAATTTGTGACAACAATGGAGTTGGTTTACTTATGGGTTGGAGTAGCCTCCGTTGCCAAAACACATATGGCAAAGGACTGTGTTGATAGTTCAGGGAAGGGCTGCTAACAGCATGACTTCGGGTCTGTAGTCTTTTAGCTCTGCTTGAATTTCTTGGGATTATCAGAGATCTCATTTTTCTGCAGGAATCAGAGCAGCCTGTGTTCTCAATGTGCATAAGAGAATAGACTGGGTTATTCAACTTTTGAATGAGGATCCCAAGGAGTTTGATCCTGCGTGGGCATTAACATGCCTTTGTGCCTGCTGTCTTGTAATTCTGCTTGAATTGTTTTGATTACCAGGCATGCCATTCTGAAGAGCAGCAGAGACAAAATCCTTTCCCCAGCTTTGGCCAAGAATTCTGTGTAGGTTTTTTATTTTTGAAGACCTGAATTTAAGTACCAAGACCATGTATGAAACTAGAGGATTGAATTTTTGCTCAGTTAATGTGAGGAGTTACCCTAAAGATTTTCCACAGACTAACCTTACCCCAATACATTGCTATGGTTATTTTGAAATTTGTCTATTCACACTTCATATATTATTCAAAAAGGGACACACTGATGTTTAAGCAGTAAGAAAACATTGCAGAATATTAGTTTTTAATAAAGAGATGTATTTTAAACAGAATAAAAATACAATCATATTAAAATTATGCATCAGATTTTAACTTGAATTTACTTATTTATTTTGAAATGGGATTATATGTAGCACTATTCTTGGATAAGCTGCCCTAATGGATCAATGCATTAATGCCTCTCTATCTCTGACTGTGGTAAAATAAGAAGTATTCATAAATGCCAATTGATTTCACCTTTCAATTATAGTCAAATGACTTCATTCAGGTTGGCATGCATCTTTACCTGTCTTTCCTATATGTCAACGTGCCTCTTTGAAATAATTACAAGAAAACTCTAAATTATTTATTTTGGGAAGTTAGAAACTCACCTCAACCCCTTTTCTGACTAGTTTCTCTAAATTGGCTCAGAGACTCTTCCGCCTCTGAGTGGGTGGCACACAAGTCAACAGCAATGGCGTGAGTGTCCAAGCTCGTAAGAACACCGAGTCCCTCCCAGAATTCCTGTGCTAACAGTGCCTGAAAATGTTCCTGACCATCCAGGAGCCAGTTTACCCACAGCATCTATTTATCTATGCTGAAGTCAAAACACATTCAACATCAGTTCTAGGAATAAGGAGAAATTACCACAAATAGTAAAGAAACAAATGCACATGAGGTCATTGATAATTTTTTTATGAGAATATGCAGTGTTTGTTTTAATTAGACCAAGTGCTCTGATACCTGGAAAATTTCCTGAATAAAGAGCACTACATGTCTTCCAAGGAAACTAGCAATTTTCTTTTCAAGACTTTACAATGTAAGTTGTTCAAAATACTTCTTAATCTTCCCTAAAGGCTTTCTGATTAGAAGTTGATCACTCAGTAAATGATTCATTCCGATGTTATTCCAAAGTCTCAAGGTTGGTGAATCACTCACTGAACTATTTGCTTTAAATGGTCATGTGACTTAACATTGCTCCAGAACCTTCCTTTCTTTTCTTTAAGATGGAGTCTCACTCTGTTGCTCAGGCTGGAGTGCAATGGTGTGATCTCAGTTCACTGCAACCTGTGCCTCTGGGTTCAAGTGATTCTCTTGCCTCGGTCTCCCGAGTAGCGGGGACTATAAGCATGCA